GGGCAGCTTGACCCTTGGACCCTGGTGGCCAGTAGGAAGCCTGGGTAGTGGACAGCTCTGCTCGAAAATAATTGTGGTGTTTGGGTGGAAAGGAAGGTTGGGATCGGGAACCCCGTCAGTTCCAAATGTTCTGCGTAGGGTAGGCTACTCTGAGCCAGACTCTGCTTGGGCGCTGAAAGCTGCCCACATGGTGTACTTTGCTGCCCTCTTGTGGCTTAGAAGTGCTCATGCAGCCTGTTGTCATTCTCTCCTGGACAGTGTCTTGCTAGTTTGTTAGTAACATGTGAAGCAAAAACGAGAACCATTTGTGGTTTCCACTTAGGGAATCCTGGTGGATCTCACTAGAAACAAGGTCTGAAGGCAAAAATACACACTGGGATTTTACACAAAGGGGTTGACCATCAGGCACCTGAAGTAATAAGAGTGGCGGGGCTGCGTTCCCAGCACCCCGGCCGCCTGCTCGGCTAGCTTATGCCCCGAAATAACAACACACAAACTGTATTCATTTAATCACTGCTTGGCCCTTTAGCCCTAGCCCTTACTGGCTAATTCTCACATCCCGATCAACCCATCTCTAATAATCTGTGAGAACCGGTCTTACCGGGAAGATTCTAGCCTAGTCCATCCTGGGTCGGAGCTTCATGCCGGGAGCGGGGCATGGCGTCTCTCTCAGGCTTCTGCTCCTGAGAGGAAAGCTGTGGAGTCTGACCTCACTTCCTCTTCCTCCCAGCGTTCTGTTCTGTTTCCACCTCCCACCTATCTTCTAACCAATAAAATGGGCCAGGGCAGTTCCTTTATTAGCCAATGACCTTCCTCCATAATTTCCCCTTTTTCGGTTTAAACAAAAAAAAAAAGGCATTAACTTTAACATAGCAAAATTACATATAACAAAACAGTTATCAAGTAAAAGTTACAATAATCTTTATCATAACTAAGGAAAACTATAACTATAACTAACTATTCTTAACTCCATCAAAGACTCCAGAAAGATATAATATTACCTAAGTAAACAAGAACTAAGAAACTTCAAACTCTAGAAATGACAAAGACATCTCGCTGCCTGGACAGTCACCCAAAGTTCTTTTGTACCGTTGGGGCATCCATCTTCAGCCTTCAGGTCCATAGTATCCAGCAGACATTTTCATCAAGCAGGAAATTCCAAAGGCAGTCACTATCTGCTTGTCCTGAAGAATGTCTCGTAGACTCTTTCATGAATCAGGAACCCCGAAAGATCATCTCACCTTAGGCAAGTTCAGTAGTCCTCTCTCTGCGGGTTCTCTGTGTCCAGTTTATGCAATAATCCAGGCAAGAGCAGTTTCTTGCCCAAATGGCTATCAAATTCCATAAGGTGCCTCTTCAATGCCCACCTTCCTCTTGAAGTAGATTGGTGCTGCCAGGAGCAGACATGTCTCATTGTCATGAAAAGCTCTTAAGTTATTAAAACATTTAAAATGCCATATTCTGTAGCCTTTGAGAGATATGAAGAATGCCTATCTGAAACATATCTCTATATTTAAGTAAATCTAAGTAACATGACTACAACCTTGACTATTATTTATGATTATCCATCAACAACCTATATTTCCTAATTATACATTACATTTTTATAAGAACTACACAATCACAGTACCTTAATCAAGATCAGAAACACATACATATAACAAAATTGACCTTAAATCTCTATCAATAAAGCAAAATCTATACTAATGCAAATTATTCATACCTATATCATATCCCCCTTTAAATGTAAAAGAACGTTTATAAACCATATTTGGGAACATGGACGCAGTTTTTTCTCTCCAAACTGCTTCCTGCTGAATGGGGGCGTCGTTAATTAGGTCTTTTATGGTATAACCTGTGTGCTAGTTTCATCTCAGTTGGCAGTTGAGTGAAGCAATTTTTTGAAGGCGTTCACACCAACCCTTCAGGAGGGCGTGGTCCATCATACCAAATCGGAATAGAAGAAATGAACAGCGTCTCATCCTCTGTGAAAACAAAATAAGAAACTCCTTTCCAAAGTATCATGTCCTTAGATCCAAATTTCAAATTTAAGGCATTTTCAAAGTATCTATGTTGGATTAGTTCAGCAGCATTTATAAACAAATATCTTTTAGCAGTTGTTTGTCCTTCGTCAGCATTCAAACAATTCAAAGAGAGCATAATAGCATACAGTATCAAAATTCTCTGTGTATTTTCCATCTTTGTGCAGCTGTGTTTTAACCTCTATTTTGTTTATTTTTACTTTTAACTCTTTGCTTTTTGAGGCAGGTTCTCTGTATCTTTGACCTGAAGTAACTCTGTAGACCAGGCTGTCTTTGAACTCTCAGAGATCTGCCTGTCTCTGCCTCCCAGGCATTGGGATTAAAGGTGTACACTACTACACCTTGAACTCACAGAGATCTGTTTGTCTCTGCCTTCTAGGCACTGGGATTAAAGGCGTGTGCTACCACACACAACAACTCTCTTCCTTTTTTTTGTTTTTTACTTTAATAACTTCAACTTTTAGTCTGCATATATTTTTAACACACAGTAAACCATTTAGAAATTTTCTTTGTCTTTGAATCTCTCTTTACTGTATATCTCTCTTTTTCTGACCACACGAGTCTTTAATTTACCAAGCAATATGGGTAGGATTAAAGGCGTGGCTTTGTCGGCTGGATCCAGCCCATTCCTTAGCTTTCCAGCCTCCTGGCTGAGGTACTGGCTGTAGCCATGTTTACTGTGACAACTCTATGGCATTTCAAGGTCCTTGCCAGCAAGCGAGCTTCAGCAGCCTGTGCTTGCAAACCGCACGAACCGCCTGCATAAAAGAGTCAGAGTTTGCCCTGGCAGGACAGCCCAGAAAGCTGGCATTTTTAAACGGCGCAGCTTTTTTCCTGCTACGGCTGAAAATCGAAAAGCATGCGTTCAGCTTTTCGTCAACACCATTTAAGTGTTTCGTGGCAGGACCTCTTAATGAGCTGCAGGCTTTGCAGCTAAAGCTGAGTCAGGAAGCCTCTCTTAGATGAGGCCCTTGCTTGCCTCTAGCAAGCAGAGTAGAACCGAGAAATTGCTGCTACCAAGAAACCAGGCACAATGCTTTCATTTTGTTCTAGAATTACTTCCCAAGCTGTCTCAGGCTTTATGTGGAAGCAGTTGTCCACGTGGGCGCCATATGAAGTAATAAGAGTGGCGGGGCTGCGTTCCCAGCACCCCGGCCGCCTGCTCGGCTAGCTTATGCCCCGAAATAACAACACACAAACTGTATTCATTTAATCACTGCTTGGCCCTTTAGCCCTAGCCCTTACTGGCTAATTCTCACATCCCGATCAACCCATCTCTAATAATCTGTGAGAACCGGTCTTACCGGGAAGATTCTAGCCTAGTCCATCCTGGGTCGGAGCTTCATGCCGGGAGCGGGGCATGGCGTCTCTCTCAGGCTTCTGCTCCTGAGAGGAAAGCTGTGGAGTCTGACCTCACTTCCTCTTCCTCCCAGCGTTCTGTTTCCACCTCCCACCTATCTTCTAACCAATAAAATGGGCCAGGGCAGTTCCTTTTTAGCCAATGACCTTCCTCCATAAGGCACCCCAGGATCAGAGTTGCTTAGCCCAAGAATCACAGCCTAGTATCTAGTGGTCTTTTATTTTATTAATTTATTCATTTATTTTATATCCCTACTGCAGTCGCCCCTCCCTCCTCTCCTTTAATTCCCCCATCCACTCCTCCTGTTTATGTTCATAAAGGAGAAGGCCTCCCATGGGGGCCAACACAGAAAGCACGGCACATTTGAGTTGAGGTGGGACCAAGTTCCTCCCTTTGCAAAGGCTGGGCAAGGCAACCCTGTATGAGGAAAAGCCTGGAAGCCAGGCCCTGCTTCCACCACTAGGAGTCTCACAGCTGCCCCCCCCCCCCCCCACACACACACATAGAGCGCCTAGGTCAGTCCCAGGCAGGCTCCCCAGCTGTGAGCTCCCAGGAGCCCAGGTTCGCTGCCTCTGCGGGCTCCCTTCTGCCCTCTCTTCATCAGAACTCCCTGAGCTCGGCCCAGTGCTTGGTTGTGGATCTCTGCATGTGCTTCCATCAGTCACTAGATGAAGCCTCTCTGATGATAATTGGGGTAGTCACCAATGTGATTACAGGAGAAGGCCAGTTCAGGTACCCTCTCCACTATTGCTAGGAGTCTTAGCTGGGGTCGTCCTTGTAAATTTGTGGGAATTTCCCTGTACCAGGTTTGTACCTGACTCTTCCCCTCATCAAGACATGTCTCTCATTACTCCCTCCCTTCCATCTCCCCAACGCAATCTCTCATCTCTACCAGTCCCTAGTCTACGCAGGAGATCTCTTCTATTTTCCCTTCCCAGGGAGTTCCATGCATCCTGCCTTGGGTGCTCTTTGTTACCTAGCCTCTCAGGGTCTGTGGACTGTAGCATGGTTATCCTTTACTTTATAGTTAATATCCACTTGTGAGTACATACCATGTTTGTCTTTCTGGGTCTGAGTTACCTCACTCAGGATTTTTTTTTTCTAGTTCAACCCATTTACCTTCAAATTTCCTGATGTCATTGTTTTTAATAGTTGAGTAATACTTCATTATATAAACGTACCATTATTTGGTTGAGGGGCATCTAGGTTTTTTTTTCCCAGGTTCTGGTTATTATAAGCTGCCATGAACATAGCTGAGCAAATGTTCTCATGGAATGGTTGAGCACCCTTTGGGTATATGCCCAAAAGTGGTATAGCTGGGTCTTGAGGTAGACTGATTCCCACTTTTCTGAGAAATCTCCATATTGATTTCCAAAGTGGCTGTACAAGTTTGCACTCCCCCTAGCAATGGAGGAATGGAGGAATATTCCCCTTGCTCCACATCCTCTCCAGCATAAACTGTCATTTGTGCTTTTGATCTTGGCTATTCTGACTGATGTAAGATGGTATCTCAGAGTCATTTTGATTTTCATTTCCCCGATGGTTAAGGATGTTGAACATTTCTTTAAGTGTCTCTCAGCCATTTGAGATTCTTTTATTGAGAATTCTGTTTAGTTCTGTACCCCATTTTTAATTGAATTATTGGGTTTTTTGATGTCAAGTTTCTTGAATTCTTTATATATTTTGATCCTGAATGCATTGGCACAGGAGACAACTGTATAGAATACCAGTAGCAAGACACTGAGATGGACAAATTAATAAATGGGACCTCCTGAAACTGAAAAACTTCTGTAAGACAATGGACACTGCCAAGAAGACAAAAAGGCAAGCTGCAGAGTGGGAAAGGATCGAGTGCCTTTTAACCGGGGCCACCTCCCTGTGCAAGGGCAGAACACAGACGCTCAAGGTCAGACCTTCCGTTTGGCTTCTCTGTTCCCATCCCCCCTTTCCAGGTATCCAGTGGCTGTTATTATCTCCCTAGGTTCTGCTTGTCTACTGTAACCCCTTCAGTTCACAGGATGGGTCTCTAAACCCCTTGTTTCTCCAGTAACTCAGAATGTGATTCTATCTGGGGACAGGGACACCAAAGGAGTGATGAACTTGAAATGAGGGTATTGTGGGTTTGGGAAAATCTGAATTCATGTGACTGGTGTCCCTGTAAGAAGAGGGCTCTGTGTGTTCAGAGAAAACCTCACAGTAGGTGGCCAGGTGGGGTAGTACATGTTTATAGGCCTGTAGTCTCTGTTCTTGGGAGGTTGAAGATGAAGGATTAAGAACTCAAAGGCGAGCTTGGACTATACAGAGAGATTCTGTTTCAAAAAACAAAACAAACTACAAAAATCCCCTAACAGAACAACACCCCCAACCAACCAACCAGAAACAAGCAAAAAACAAAAACAAAACGCAAACAAAAATCCCATATTTTGATGTTGAACTTCTAGTCCAGAACTGAGAAAATCTGATAATTAAGCTGCCCAGCCTACGGCATTTTGTTACAGCAGCATTAGCAAACAAATATGCGTCTTAAGAAAATGCCTCTTGCTACATCAGCAGGTACTGCATGCTGGGGCCTTTGGGGTTTCTAAAGCCATAGCTGCCCTCACACTGGAGACTGGCTATAGTTCCTGAATTTGTCCAGAGGATCCTTATGATGCACTAAATTTTAAACTTCAGAGTCCTAGAGGCTTTTCATAGATGAAAAAATTCTGGAATGTTAACATTCCCTGGGTCCCCTGGTAATGAGGAGGGGCAGCGGCAAGCTCAGTTCTGACTCTGAGTGCCTCCCCTTCTCCTTAATGTGGCAGAGCCTCAGGCTCACCAGAGGGCCCTGGGTCAGGAGCTGCTGTGAACCTGGGCAAAGCGTTGGGCAGAGAGTCATGAGCTTAGCTGAGGCTTGGAAATGGTAGTTTTGTTTCTCCCTAAACACTCAGAGCAAGTTCAATGCTTCTAAAAAAGTCCCCACTCAACTCCACGTGGCAGAATATACCACACTTCCACATCACCCTTAAAAGGTCCCCTCATCTCTTATACCTGCCTGCACTGAGGGACCAAGAGGGGGACTTGTATCTGTTCTGGTCTTGGTCAACAGTGACACCTAACCACACTTATTCTTTCAAAAATACATTTTATTAGTGGCATGTGGGATTTAAAGTTAACCAGTTTCTTCCCAGAGAGAAGGGGATCTCCGATAGACTAAAAAGCTGAGCCGACATAGCCCAGCAGACATGCCATTTCCAGGGTGATGACGAGTGCATGGGGCGTTCTCCATTGAGGAGACTGCTCTCTGCGTCATTCTCACCCCCCTGAGCATTTGATTCAGCGTGTGTGGGACTGTCCCCAAGTATTGGCAGTCTACTCCCTCAGTGAGTCAGTGTCATCTCTCCAGCCACCTGCCAACCGGCTGCTGGAGAACTGGGAAAGGTCATGAGCCTAACCAAGCCTGTGTGAAGACAACTTGAACTGGGGTCGGGTGGGGCTGGCCTTGGGAGCTCACCTGTGAGCCAAACAAACAAACAAACAAACAAACAAAAAAAACCCCATAAACAAAACTTCACAGACTTCATTAGACTACAGTTCAGGCAACCATGGAGACTCAAGTACCCAGATACGTGTTGGAGAAGTTTGAGTGTTCTGTTCTGGAAAGATCCAATCCCCCACACAGAAAAAGAACTCCTCCCTGCACATCTTGCTAGGTGTTCTTGTGTCTCTGAATGAACTCTGTAACATTTTGAGCTTCAACTGACTTGGGTCTTTCTTTCCAACACCTTTCTTCAGCGCTTCCTCCCATACCCTCCCAAGCTAGCCTCTGCAAGTTACTGTTCTCCCAGCCCAAAAGCAGTTCTGTGGTCAAAATCTAGCGGCTCCCTTCTAGCCTTGCATGATGGAGACTGGGAAAGAGGGGCTCCCTAAGGCTCCCATCTTTACTGGTCTTAACACAGGCATCTCATCGCTTCAGAATCTGACCCTCCACCAAACATTCTTTGCCTTACTGAGCAAGGGAACAAAAGGAGGGACAGACTGCGTAAGTTTTCCATGTCTACATCTAATTGATTGAGCTAGGTCTCCACACCAGGCAGCTCAACCTCACTTCCAGGCTAGCAAGCAGATTACAATCTTCTGGGGTTTAGCACAGGTCCATGGTCATGGTCTTGGTGTCACAAAGGTCAATGCCGGCCTGCAGCTTGCCATTCTTCACCGCTGCCCAAGGCATGGTGGCAGAGGTCCACTTTGCTACCCAGTCTCCTGTTTTGCTCACCAAGATGAGGCCACCTAGACCTTTGAGCTTTGATTTCATATAATTCAATGCCAACTCAGCAGCCTCATCTACGGTCTTTCCTGAAAACAAGGAGAGGTTGAGAAACATCACATGCAATAATCTTCACAGCTCCCAGGTTTGGACACCTGGACTCCAGCTGTGTCGCTGCTTTGGGACATTGTGAAATCTATGGCTGGGCTTCACTGGAGAAAGTGGGTTCTGGGAAAAGGGGAGGGGACTGGCCCTGCCTCATATCCTGGTCCACTGAGATATGAGCAAGCAACTACTGCACGTTCCACTGCCACAAAGCTGCCCATCACTATGGCCCATACGTCCTCAAAGTGTGAAGCAAAACAAAGGTCCTTAAGGTGCTCCTTGTCAGGCACCTGGTCATACTGACCAGCAAAGTACCACAACATGCATTTAAGAATGGGGCGGAGACACCTTCCCTTTTACTCCATGGTCAAGGTCAACCCACTTCTGTTGCCTTTCTTTTGTGATGGAAAGAGAACAGCAGGCATATATTATATATTATATACATGCCCATGTGTGCCCACACCTATGCATGGAAGTCAGAGGACATAGGTGGCCATGTTTTTGTTCTGCCTTAGTCCCTTGAGACAGGGTTTCTCACTGAACCTGGGGCTTGCTACTTTTCTTTCTTCCTTTCTTCCATCCTTCTCATTCTTCTCCCTCCCTCTCTCCCTCCCTCCCTCCTCTCTTTTCCCTTCTTTTCTTTTCTTTTCTTTTCTTTTCCTTTCCCTTTCTTTCTTTCTTTCTTTCTTTCTTTCTTTTATACTGTCATACAGCAAATCCCAATAGTCCACCTGTCTCCATCTCCATAGGGCTGAGGTGCCTATAGGCACCTGTACATTTTTACACATCCTTGGGATTTGAACTCAGGTCTTCATGCTTGTGCAGCAAGTGCTCTTACATACTGAGATATTTCCCCAGCCCAGAGAATGATATTCTAGAATAGTATTCTAAAGGTTCTTCTAGTCCAGATCCTACCAGAATGTAGGCATGTGTTAGAATAGTATGAACTACCTTTAGGCTACCCCATCAGTGAGCAAACAGCATCTGTGAACTGGTCTTTACCAGTTACGCACTTGATCACAGCCCACGTACCTTGTTCTACATGAAAGAGGGCGAGTCTGGCCAGATTCACCTTCAGGATACTTTCTCCATGTCCTGTGGTTGAGACGGCGCCAACGTTATTGTCTGCGTAACCTCCAGCTCCTGCTCAAAAAAGGTGACTGGTAAGAAGTCCAAACACAAGGCTCATGCTACATAATGTTATATCCTGGAGGTGTAGACAGAGGTCAGATCCCTCCTATTCATGGTCCGTGACATAAAAGTGGACAAGAGGGGCACTTGTAAGCAAACACACAGGAGGCAGGTGTGGCCTTTCACAGAGGAGGGGCACCAGGGCAACGCCTCCTTTGTCCCAAAGGACAGCCACCGTTTTTCTCTCAGTGGTGCCATTCCTTTTGCACAGGATGAAGAAGATCTTGGAGGTGTCACCTGGATGACTAGGACAGCCATTAGACATTAAAATAATTTGACAAAACCAAGCCTTCCAAGGCTTACCTCCACGCACGCCATGATGATTTAGAAAGTAATTCTATCTGTTGAAAGTAGCTTAAACTATTCTGGGCTATCCATAAAAAGGGTTCTAGAGCCAAAGGGATTTTGATAAAATTTCTCCCCTAATCTTACTCTAAGCAGCTCTATAGTCATCTCTCCGTTATTCTTTATCTGTTCACACAGAGCCACCAGTCTGAGCCCCACAGCCTGGAAGGCTTTCCCTACCCTGCTCTGGCTGCTACAGAGCATCATGTTGGCATTTGCCTTATGCAATGATGCTGCGTATGGGGAAAGGGCTCAGGAGGGCAGATTTCTGCTGTTAGTTCCCCAGGGTGTTTGAAAGCAGGTAACTTCATGGTCTGGTTCTGAGGGGGCAGAGATTAGGAAAGGAATACAAAGTTTTCCAATAGGAGTAGGCTTTTCCCTTTCCTTCAAGCTTTTGCTGTGGGGTGAAGCAGTCTGACTCCCTGTGTCAAGAGGGCCTTCCTGTTCAGAAGCTGCCAAGTCTTCATTTTCTCTTCAGTACCTTTAGAGTCACAAAAGGCCAAGATGACTCCATGGATCCTGGCATGGGCACCCCCTTTCTCAGTATGATAATTGCACTGCTGAAGTAAATGTTGCTGAGTGCCTAGTGTCACCTACAGAAGGTCTTTGAGGGACAGCTGGACCCTTCTGGGGAATGTTGACCAGAAGGGTCAAGATGACCACATTCGGTTCCCAATGCCCAACCAAGACAGTGGCTTCTGGGACTTCAGATCCCAGATTTTCCCTCTCAGTATTTTGCCATAAAGACTCGCAAATCCTGAATTTAGTCCTAGGCTCTTGTCCCTGCCTGGCCTTGGAGCCTGGAGCCTGGGGTCTGGTCTGATCCCAGCTGGATGCAGGCTGTAGTGCCCAACAGCCATATTTTAGCAGGGTTTTTGCTAAGGAACAAAAAAGTGAGTGTTTCGTGTCTGCTTCTGAGTACTGAAGCACCTCAACAAGCAGGCCTCTGATTTTTTTTTTCAGATTTCTTTTTTTTATTATTAATTATTTATTAATGATTTCTGCCTCCTCCCCGCCACTGCCTCCCATTTCCCTCCCTCTCCCCCGGTCAAGTTCCTCTCCCTCGTCAGCCCAAAGAGCAATCAGAGTTCCCTGCCCTGTGGGAAGTCCAAGGACCACCCACCTCCATCCAGGTCTAGTAAGGTGAGCATCCAAACTGCCTAGGCTCCCACAAAGTCAGTACATGCAGTAGGATCAAAAACCCATTGCCATTGTTCTTGAGTTCTCAGTAGTCCTCATTGTCTGCTATGTTCAGTGAGTCTGGTTTTATCCCATGCTTTTTCAGACCCGGGCCAGCTGGCCTTGGTGAGTTCCCGATAGAACATCCCCATTGTCTCAGTGTGTGGGTGCATCCCTCGTGGTCCTGAGTTGAGTGAGGTAAGCCAGACCCAAAAAGAGGAACATGGGATGTTCTCACTCATATTTGGTTTCTAGCCATAAATAAAGGACATTGAGCCTATAATTTGTGATCCTAGAGAAGCTAAATAAGAAGGTGAACCCAAAGAAAAACATATAGGCATCCTCCTGAATATTAACCCTCATCATGCGATGAAAGGAGACTGAGACAGAGACCCACATTGGAGCACCGGACAGAAATCTCAAGGTTCCAAATCAGGAGCAGATGGAGAGAGAGCACAGGCCTCTGATTTTTAAAGAGGCTTCATGCATTTCCTCTGAGGCCATCACTATATAGGATAAAAGAACTCTGAAGAGTGTAATTTATTACTAGGCATATCACAACATACACACAAGGTCAAGTTTTCTATTAAAAGTATAAGCTGCTCCTCTGGGCAGACGAACAATTTAGCTGTTTCTTAAACTGTCATCCAGCTGCAGGGGTTTGTGGGAATTCCCACCAGACAAAGTGCAAACCTCACAGAGCAAACAGAGTGAGATGTATGATGCTTTTGTTCTGCATGAGGTGTTGCTATGAGGGCATTTCAGTCTACAGGAGTGGAGTGTGCTACTCACATGCAGTACCTGGAGATATGAAGTTCTCTGTGTACATGGGTGTGTGCACGGTGTGTGCATACACAGGTACACATGTGGAGGGCAGAGGTAGATTTCCATCATCTTCCTTGATCTCTCTCCACCTTATTTTCAGAGATGGGATCTCTCACCACTCACGGACTCCAGAGCTTGATGGTTTAGCTCCCTAGCCGGCTAGGAAGCTCTGGGGATCCACACATTTCTGCCTCTCCCAGTGCTGGGTTACAGATGCACACTGCTGCACTAGCCCTTTTACCTGGGTGCTGGGGATCTGAACTCAGGTCCTCATACACACACAGCAGGTATTTTCCCCTGGGCCATCTCTTCAGCCCAAATTTTCCAGTTTTTAACTTTTATTGTTAACGTGACTCATGCCTGGGAAGAGGTAGTATGTGTTCAGCCTTCTGCAAGCGACCCGAGGACCCTGAAACTGGGGCTACAGAGAAGACAGGTATGACTGCAGAATCCTTACCTCCACTTTCTTTCCCAACATGTCCCTGAAATGTAATCCAGGGGAAACCAATGTGCTTGTTAGATGTGAACACCCCAAAGCAGCGGTCCCCAACAACCTCCACCAACCCAACAGCCACTTCCAGGAGCTGATGACACAGAAAAGGATGAGAATCTGAGGACATGGGAGGCAAGGGTGGAGCATGAGCTACCTCTCAGCCCTACCTATGCAAGGTGAGTCTCCAACTCTGCCGACCATTTTATTGACAATCCCTCCAGTAGAGGTGGCATAGGCCAAATTTCCTTTGCAGTCCAAGGCAACAGCACCCACGGTTCCCGAGTTTCTGCCAAAAATAAGCACAAAAAGGAAGAGAGTAAAGATGAGGAACGGTCCCCAAGTGAGACTGGAACTTAGACTCACTTAAATTCAAACATTACATGGTAACATTCTAGGCTCAAGGAACATTTGTTGCTTATTCTACATGCCACCAGCAGGCCAATTTCTACCTGGTACATTAAATCTCTACTGTAAAGAGTCCATCTATCCCAGAACTCAGGAGGTAGAGGCAGGGGAATCTGTGAATCTGAGGTCAGCTTGGTATACATAGTGCGTTCCAGGCCAGCTAGTAGACTCTTAACAAAAAAAATTATTCATTTTATATGTTTCTTTTACTGTTTTATGTGGCTACCAGAAAGATTTCAATGGCCTAAGTGCTTCTTATTGAGGTGGACACATACACACATTTAACTCTTGGAGAGATGGCTCTAATTCATGAGTCCCTTCAGAAGCTTACACTGAAACGCGTGGCGGCAAAGAAGTGGACTGTTGCCCCTGTGAGGGAACATGCTTCGGTGCAAGTATGATACAAGCCACTTTGTAGATAACTTTCCACCTGAGTCTGCTGTTTGTATCTTCCCAGATACAAACTTCCTCCAAAGTGTTCATTTCTGATGTCAACAATGGCACAGCCCAGACTTTGGGCTCAGGAAGCCTTTGCTTCCAGGAGGGGACAGCATGACAGGCAGAAAAGCTTTTCCTTCCTTGAGGCTGCAGAGTGTGAGTGACAAGGACAGAGGCCACGGGAAGTCATGCTGGGCCAATGCTGAGTGACGAAGTGGCCAACGCATTCTGTGATAAACTGTCTGACCTCTCTAAATTGCAAGGTCCAGGGTAAGGGGCCACACATTTATATCTAAGAGCAGTGCTGGCTGGTGCGGATGGACGGCTCGAGGTGCTTTGTTCTTAGTGCTGGGCATTGAGCACAGGGTTTTGTGCACACTAGGCAATGCTCTCCCGCTGAACCACACTCTCAGCTCACACACAACTTTCAGAAAGCAATAGGAAGACAGCTTTGAAAATGAACACGAAGCACTGCTTAGCAGCCACATTCCACTGACTCTAGTCCACAGAGATTAGAGCCTCAGGTCCTAGTGCCTGGGAGGCTGAGGCAGGAGGATTGCAAATTCCAGGCCTGGCATGAGCTGAATAGCATGATCCTTTCTGAGAGTAAGTGAGAGAATAATAGTATGTTAACATCTTCAATCCCATAACCTGGAAAGGCATCAGAGTTATCTCAGAGATTCGCACATTATACATGCCTGGCCTCTCTGTCTTAGACCCGTCAAAACCAATTCTTTAGGAAAAGGGGGCATAAATTAATTATAAAAATTATAAATTATAATTTAATAGATATAATACATGATCTATTATATATGTAACATATAATATGTATTTGAATAAATGCAGTCTGCCTAGGTTATTTGAAGGGTGATGCCTGGTAAACTCTAGCAACTTTGCAGTGTTATGAGACTGAACTCTACTCTCCTGTGAGCTCCTGGGTTCTACTGAATTATTTCTAATTTTGGAGCTAGGGCCTCACTCTACAGCTTAGACTGTCTTAAAACCTGTCCTCTTGCCTCTGTCTCCCGATGGCTGGGATCATGTGTGCCATGAAGCCTGGCTGGCAACCTTCTGCTTCACGGCACAGGAGGAATAAGTGAGGGTGAAGTTACGATGAAGGGGAGCTGCCTTCCCTCCACAGAGTTTGGATCACTCAGGGAACACAGGTGAGGGGACACGGCCAAACTCCCCACCTCTTCGGCTCTGGAAGTCTGGGTGGCATCTGGAACTTACTTAGGGCAGTCAGCTTTCTGGGCCCCCTTCTCAAGCTTCTCTTTTTCCAGGTGCTTCTTGCTTCTCTCCGTTATCAGTTTTTCTAAAGGAGTCTCCGGAATCCCCATGTCTGCTGCAAATTTCTCTGCACCATGGCCAGTCAGAAAGCAATGAGGTGTCTAAATCAGCGTGGGAAGGGAGAAAGAAGCTTTTTTAAAGTATAAATTATAAAATAATTATAAATATAATTAATTATAAAATAATTAATAACAATTATATATATATGTGTATGCCTGTTCTATTATGGGGAAATAATAACTATTTTTTAGCATTAAAAGGCCCCAAAGTGAAAGTTGAACTGTATTCTCCCTTTTCTTCTGTGTTGGCAGTCAACCTCAGAGCTTTGGTGAGCTCTAGTTAAATGATCTGTCCCCAGCTGACTTAAGGAAGGCCAGGAGATTACAAAGTCAGCATGCATCACACAGTTATTAGTTATCATACAGGACTAACGCAGTGGCTGACCTGCGACAGTCCAACGGCACTATGTGTGTTTCCTGTGCGTGTTTGGAACAGCGAGCTCCAGCACTGCTCACAACCTGGCCCGTTCACCCCAGAAGTGCAGCAGGAGCAGCTTCTCAGGAAGCCCTGCATCCATCGCACGTACCTTTTCCATAACAAGCCGTGCAAGCTTAGTGGGATTTGCGATACAGCGCACGGCAGACACTGCTCCTGCAGACAGGTCCCTCCCATCCATGATACTAGCATCCATCTCAACGTCACCTTTTACATTCAGGACAGACCCACAACCTAAACCAAGAAGAAGTTGAAAAGCAAAAGTGAAAATTTATAAAAGACTTAGAAGTTCCATCGACTTACCTCTTTCAACCCATCTTTTGTTCTACTGCTAGAGGAACATGGTGGAAACACATTTGACTTGGTACCTATTGGTTTGGACTCAGTTTGTCTCCCACAGGTCTCCAGGACAATAGCATTGAGGTAGCAGAACCTTTAAGAGGTAGGGCCTAATGGAAGATAATTAGGTCATGGGGATCCACCCTCATGCATAGATTAATGCTGGTCTCATATGAAGGAATTTTCTCAATCCAATAAAGACAATCTATAAAATCCTATAGCCTATATCATACTTTATGGTGAGAGCCCAAGTGTCTCTCTCTGTAGCTGGTCACCAATAAGTATTTTGATCTCTTTATTCATACTGACTCATACCACTGAATGGCCTGGCCAATACATTCTACATTATATAGGAGATACATTGTGGGCTGGTGGGCAGCATATATGTGTAATCTCATGTAACCTTGGCACTCAGGAAACAGACACAAGAGACTATATGCTAGAAGCCAGCCTGGGTTACACAGTGAGTTTAGGCCAGCTTGAGCTGCCCTGTGAGAGCTTGTCCCCTGAAACAACCCAAAATATAAAGACTAAAGGATATAAAAACAGAGGGCAGGAGACTAGTTTGCAAAAAAAAGAAGATTAGGAAAAGTTGGAGGGGGAAGAGAAAGGGTAATGAGGGAGTAAATTATTAAAATGTTTAATTACCATATGCTACTAAAAGTTAAAAAACCAACAACCCCAAATTTCAGTTTAAAAGCAATCCAGGGGCAGGCAAGATGACTCATCAGCTGAAAGCATTTTCCATGGAAGCCAGAGGAACCAAGCTCCATTCCTAGAACCCACAGTGGAAGGAGAACTGTCTTCTGGAAATTGTCCATGTGCACCCATTTGCACACTCACACACATGCACACTCTCACACACGCACAGTAATAATGATAACAAAATAAAAGTCGGTTATAAAAGCAACCTAGTCTTTGTTTCTTTTCATAGCAACCAAATAGATTAAGTAAATATAGAAAAATCAGTAGTATTGCATCATAAGCAAATGATACAGAAAACTTTATTAATCTGAGTAATTGGTATGAATTAATAAAAAGAATAGTTGACTCAAGAGAAAGAATAAAGATATTGTCCACACTGAACAAATGGTACAAAGTAGATAGGGGTCAGCTGGGTGAGGTGGCCTAACAAAAGGTCTAACACCTAATTCACTCGAGTCCCTAAAGGGCAGGAAAAGCCTAGGTCTGAAAAGCATTCAAGGACATGATGATTGAAAATTGTCTACAACTGACAAATGGTCTAAATGTACAAATTCAAGAGGCTGAACAAATCCCCAATACTATTAAATCCGGAGATATTCACAGTAAGACATCATAATCAATATAAAAACATCTTGAGAAGCCAGGGATGGTAGAGTGCTTTGCAAGGCTTCAATCCCACTCACTGGAAAAACAGTCTTGAACGTAGCAAGAAAGAAATGACACCTTACTTATAGAGGAAAACCAAATATAATAGCACAGGATTTCTCAGCAGAAACTATGGAGGCCAGAAAGAGGTACAGCATTTTCCAAGAGCTGAAAGAAAAGAACTACCAAATCAGAATTCCGTGTCTAACAAAGCGCCCATCCTTTGTGCTTATGAAACCAGGACTGTACTGCTCTGTAACAAGATACTCCAGACTAGGCTGCTTACACAATGGAAAGTTAATTCTCAATCTGCAGGCTGGGAAGCTCACGGTCACAGTGCCTGAAAGGTTGACCCTTTCTGAGGTTGGTTTATAGGTAGTCACCAACTCACTGCATTCCAGTGCTCTCTCCTGGTGCCACAGGGAGTGTGAACGCTAGTCAGTTAATAAAGATCATCATCTGTGTTCTTAGGAGTGCTGGTGTTGTGTATCATGGTATAGCCGTGGAGGCCAAGGGAACCACCTTCCATCTTGTTTTAGACAGGATCGAGTGTTCACCGCTGTACACACATGGCTGTTTGGCACATGAGCAGCTGCCAATTCTCCTGTCTTCACCTCCCGTGGTGCTGCAGGAGTGCTAGGATTACAGATGTGGTCTACTGTGGACTTGTGTGAGTTCTGGGGATCCAAATTTAGGTTCTCACAATTGAGCACTTTATCTGGGGAGCCATCCCCAGTTTTTTCCTTTGTTTTTGAAATTTATTTATTTTATATGTGTGGGTGTTTTGCTGCATGTATGGCGGTGTACCATGTAATACAGATGGAGGAAAACAGTCTGGTGCCAGTGGACCTAACCTGGAAGGATGGCTATAAGAGGCCTTGGAGCAGAGAGGCAACAAAAAGAGGAGGAATCCTGCAAAACCAAGAGAGAGAGAGAAGAACCAGCTGCAGAGAGAGTGAAAATTTGGGCAAATACAGTGGACTTGCCTTCTCCTCCATGGTTTCTTGGTTTATGTTGTTGGTTGTTGCAAAAAGTAACAAGATACTGAAACTGTTCTCAATGTATACAGAAAAGAAAACTGAAAACAACTGGAAGTTGAAACTTAAATTAGCACCAGCTGAGCATAGAGGTAAGGTCTCTGCATTTTGCCTCCATTGGTAAGATGTGTATATTATTAGACAGTTGATACATATATCAATATCAGTCTCCAGAGCAAACTCTTAAAATGATATGCAAAGATATATATTCATTACTATCGATAAAGCAAAATAAATTTCTAAAATCGATGTTCAAATAACTTAGAGGAAGAAAGAACAAAAAGAAAAATGAGGGTAAATAGACCCCAAAACATAATAGCGGATGTAAGCTCTTAACCTATCAGCAGTTGTATAAAATGCAAATTTTCTAAGTGGACTCATTGAAAGGCAGTGCGGTTACAACTTATCTTTGGCCCACCCGAGAGATAAAATTTTACAAACCAAACTAATGTATGTAATAAAAGATTTCTGTCTAGAATATACAAGTAACTTATGACACCTTATAATAGGGGGAAACACGTTTAGCAGACACACAGGCAGTCTGCTCCTTGATCAGAAGTTGGTAAATATGTTCCCTGGATTTTACCAGCTGCTCTGGCAGGCACATGGGATGCTGTGTGGAGACCAGGTCCTGAATTTGTAGGACTGAACCAGTCTGAGCCCTCAAGTCACTGGCCTGTCCCATCAGCTGATCACATACCCCCAGATGTCATTACATATTCCTGCACACTGATGTGGTGGCTCTTAAGACCAGCTGGACATCATACTGATACTCCATGTGACCTTGGCATCATTATAATCTTCTAATGATAAAACACATAGGTGCCAGAGTAGATCCGACCACATCTAAATTAGGTAGACAAGAAGCGGCAGCCTGGCCACTAAAGATCTCCCTTCTTTGTGACAGTATGCATTATAGCACCCCCAGTGCCCAGCCCAGCCCACCAGGACTTTTGCTCAGGAAGGACCATGCCTCTAGAGTGTGAAATCCCCTTCTTCACTCATTGGTCACTTAACACCCCACCCCAACACACAATTGTCTATTTGAATGTGGTAACAAGCAGGAAAGCTGCAGACACAGTGGCAGAATTTCAGTTCAGCCACGGTAGATATGTGCTAAGTGTCAGAAACCAGGCCTTGTACCACATTCCCTCTTGTGTGGCTGGGATCTGTTTTTGTTTCGTTTTGAGACAGGGTCTCTTTACACAGTCCTGGCTGTCCTGGAACTTACTATGTAGACTAGGTTGGCCTTGAATTCACAGAGATACACTTGCCTCTGCTTCCTGTATGCTGGGACTAAATGTGTGTGCCACCATGTCTGGCTTGGCTGATCATTATTATTCTTCATTATTTACTTTATAACAAATGAGCAAATGCAAGTAATAATTTCTCTGAATTTTTAAGTCATCATAGAAAATGACTGAACCTGAGCAGGGCAATATAGGAAGCCCAGTTTGTAGCCACAATAGGTAAATGTTGTGGAATAATCTTTTTGTACACGTGAAGAACTGTCACTCTGATTGGTTTAATGAAAAAATGAAAGCTCAATAGCTAGGAAAGATTTCCAGAGGACACTGAGAAGAAGGACGAGTTGCTAGGAAATGCTAGAGGATGCAAGCAAGCAGAATGGGCAATACAAAGTATAGGTAGCCAAGCAACATAAGAGAATGAAGATCAAAAGATATGGGTTAATTTAAATTATAAGAGCAAGTGAGAAACAAGCCTAAGTTATCGGCCAATCTTTTATAATTAATCAGTCTTCAAGTCACTATTAGGGAGCTGACCATCTTCTGTAGGAATTCCTATAGCCAATAGCCTTTAAGATACCAGCACACTTGAACATGGCCTCTTATACTATAAATTCTGATGTAAAGCATGTGCTTGCTCTTTCTCTCCCGGCATCTGAACTCAGTTTCTGTTCCCTGTTTGTGTAGAGGACTGTGATCTGTGAGTCTACCCCTGAAAAATAAAATCCTTTGTTATACGCAATTCTGAGCTAATGTGGGATTATTTTGTAATTTCCATTTTCATCTGGCAGCCATGAATCCCAACTCCACACCTACGGATATAGGCCAAAAAAGACCCAAAAGGTCCATGACCCAGAAGGTCTCCCACCTGTGCCCGCCTGGCTTGCTTTCACCTTCTAAGTGGTTTTGCCAAACCTCATCACAGTCACAGCAGAGCTACTATGTGGCCTTTGCATGCTTCCCCCTCGCTTGCCATTTTTCCTGCTGCAAGGCTTATGTGATTTTCCTTATACATCCATTTATCTGATTTTGGGAATTAGTTCTGTTTTTCATATTATATCACTAAGAAAATGGTTTGATAACAGAGCCAAGAATGAGGCAGTTTTAGAAATAATACAGTCTTTACAGACTAATAATGAACAACTAGTTGAAAAAATAATACGATTGAAAAGGTTAACATTAATTTGACAGACAAAATCCAAGCAATGTTGAAGGCTGCTGAGACATTATCTGAAAGAATTTGTGCTGTTGAATTTAACCA